GTCCCTCCTGACCCTAGCTACTATGAAACTATGAAACTTGGTTAAATGAGCTCAGAAATATTTCACTGGATTAGGGTCTTCATAATGTTCCAATGCTTTAAAACCATTTGGGTGACTTAAATTGTGTGGTTCTACTCTCCAAAAAGCAAATGCTTCACCAAATCTACAATAGCTTCAGGGTCCAAACTTAGTCAGTACAAGAGTACTTAATCAGAAAATGAACATGCTGGCACCGTCTGAGGAGCCAGAATTTTCTTTTCCCCCACAGATTTTGTGAGCATTCCCCAGATTTTGCGGAATCCACAAAATCCGCTGAATTGTGAATTTGGTAGGTCCCTAATTATGAAAGTGACTCTGGTTAAGCATATGAAAATAAAGCTTTCAATTTTCATCTATGGTGGTTTTAAAGTAGACTTAATCAATTCTATGAGTAAATTGCATATGGAGTATATAAATGAAAATCACCTAAAAATTACTTTGTATGCTTTATCCTCCACAGAATGACATCACTCCATTACATGTTGCATCCAAGAGAGGAAATGCTAATATGGTCAAACTCCTGCTTGATCGAGGCGCTAAAATTGATGCCAAAACAAGGGTAAGATTAAATATGAACGATATTATTTACAGCTAATTCCTTTGGCATGTGGTTCTTTTGCTTCCAAAACAGACTTCATTCACCTAGGAGGTTTCATAGAATGATTTTCACAATGTTTTTTCATTAAACCATATTTGAAACACATTGCATAATAAAGCTCAAACCTAACTTTTACTACAGGAAAGCAATACTATGTTATGTACAATATTTCATTATGGTGCTGCTTCAAACTGGAGCAGTTTCCTAGGCACTAGTGAAAACTAAAAGTCTAGAACTTGATTTAATTATTAAGATCTCTTCTATTTTGAATTCTGGAGAGGGAATGGTTCTCGCTCCCCTGTAACTGCAGTGGGTTGGTTCCTCAATGTGCTTGAAGGACTTGCAGTGCCGCCTTTTTGCCTGAAAAAATGTTTGGTGGAGGTTTTCTTCCACTTCCATAAGAATCTTTTTTTCTCTCCCCCTGGATCAAATGCATGGGTAGAATATGTTTAACTAACCCACCTGACATGTGGAGTCTCCCACTTAGCTGTAGAATCATACAGCCCAGATACAAGTGGTGATGGGAGCATCTTATAGAGATGAGAGTGATTTAAATCCCTGTCCTATTCAGTGCTTAGCTACTTCACTGGGAGTAGCCCTGTTCTCCATCAAGGAGGATGCTTCTAGACAACATCAACATATTTGGTTATATGCTACTTGAACTGTGATGAAATATGATTTGTTAAACAGGTAAAAACTCATTAAAGTAGGATTTTTGATACTTTATTTCACTAGCAGAAAAATAATTTAAGAAAACATAAGACGGATGCTGCTATAATCCCTGCCCCAGCTCTGTAAGTGGTTCCTGCCTGTGCACGTGAAGATTTTGAGTAAAAGGGGAGTGTTGCAATAGCTTTACTTGTCATACATTTTCTTGGTGAAACATTAATTGTTCATCATCCATTACCATATACTATTTTTTCCATAATTACCCAATAAAAATTCTAAACAGTAAAGATATTTGGCTAAAGAATGCCTTTTATGTAGTTTAGGTAGCTTTTCTTGTGTTCAAAAGTCTGAAATCTGATGCTAAATGTGTTTAGGCACATTCATGTTTTGATTGATTGTTTGTATTCTGTCATATATTTAAACTCAGAATCACCTCTTCAGAAACAGGATCAATTAAGCATTTCTTCTTCCATCAGTCTTCCACAAGTTGTTTTTTTTTCCTTTTCAACAGACCTTTATCAAAGGCTCCTGATTTCTTTGTAAAATGTTTCCATTTCTTTAAATGAATGAATATAAGCGAAGTAATATTTCTTCAATCATTGTAGCGTGTTTTGGCCAGTTTCCTTTTCACTGTATACTACCAGAATCCTGGTTTGTTGCAAAGGTCTGGCACCTCTGTTTTATCTAATCTCTTTGCCAAGATTACATGAATTGTTTGCCATTCTTTGCTTATATGTAATGCCCAGCAAATTGGTTACCTGTATACATCTGTTACATTGATGGTGAGGTACCACACTGCAGCTTTTACGGGTGTGCAAAGCAGGCCCTACTCGATTC